CTTTCAGCTCCAGAGCTGTAATTAGGGCCGCTGGCTCGGTGGGAGCCGGAGCAGACCTGGAAGCTCTGTCCCCAGCAGAGCAGAGCGGGGACAGGCGGTGGCTGCAGGCCTTTTTACTTGGAAGGACCAATCATCTTCTGCCTCTGGGTGGGCATCCCTGGGGCCCTGCTCTTTCCACGTGGCTCAGGGCACCCTGGAGGTGGCCAGGCCCTGCCGTCATCCCCAGAGTGCACCCTCTCCACCTGCTAGCCCTGTCTCCTGGCCACCCAACCCTGGATCCCCCTCCCCCTCCCAGGACCAACCCTCCCCTGTTCACTCTCCCCACCTGGAGCCTTTGGGGCCACAAGTGTGGCAGGAAGCTCCCCTGAGCTTGGCACGCTGCAGGGGCACAAAGCACATGCTGGCTCAGGCTCAGGTACTCAGAGTTCCCCTCCCTGGTCCTTGGGAGGCCTGAGGACCCGGCTGACTCCGTCTCAGCGCTGGGACCTGCAATGTGGCCCACAGTACAGGAGATGGGCAGAGACCACTGCAGGCTGGTCAGCTTTCCAAGCCCCTACCCACTGTGGACCCCTAACCTACACCAAGCCACCCCAACCCAGCAACCCTCCCTGGGCGTGACATCCTTCCTGTCCTTCTGCCCCCCAGTTTGGGTGCCCCAGGGGCAAAACCCTACTCCCACCAGCACACTGGGCCCCGCCACTTTAGGGAGAACATTCTGGGCTCCAGTCTCCCCAGACCCCAATCTGTATCCCTAACCCTGAGACGTCAGCCGGCAGCCCAGCCCCAGCCCGACCCTGTCTCGGCCACCCAGCAGCCTAGGGCCTGCTGGCACCCCCCACGGAAGGGAAGGAAACACCAGGGTGGGAGGACCAGAAAGAGGCCTCATCTCGGGACAGCACTGCAGGCAGAGGGCCAGAGCTGCTAGGCCCCTGAGTCGGGGGGCAGTGCCCGCGCTAGGGCAGCAGGGCGCCTTGGCCCACCCTGACCTCTCTTTCTCCTTTCCCCTCGTCCCTCCCTCTCTCCAGCTTTGAGCTCTCTGGCAGAGTCCCATCTACAAGGACGACTGAAACTTTATAGGGCATGATTCATCGCGTGGCGGCCCCTCGGAGTCACGGCGCGTATTACATTAATCAGTGTCAGACCACTAAAACCGGGAGATGAATATGAATTCTCCATATTGCAGGCGAGATAAATGTGCTGGGGAATATAACTGATTGGAGGCGGTTGGGAAGGGAGGTGGGAGCAGTGAGATTTCCAAGACTCCAGCAGGTCAGGGATAGGGATGGGGTCTGGACCCACTCCCCAAGTCCTCCGACCAGGAATGTGGGGATACTCATCGAGAAAGTCTGCACGCCAGACCCTCTCCCCATCACCTCTGCAAGCTGGAGAGGACGGTCTCCGGGTCAGATTTGTTCCTTAGCCTTTTCCCCAAAATGAGATCCCATAAAGACAGACATCCTCTGTCCTGAATAGAGTGTCCTTGCTGTGAGGAACCTGTCCCCTGTGGAGAACAGAGGCCAAGATGCCAACATAAATCAGGGGATGCCCCTCATCCTTAGGAATTTTCAGAGTTTGTCTCCTTACAGAATCACCGCCACCCTCTGAAACCGCTGGGCAGGGGTGAGGCAGGAGTGCACCTCGGCACACACAGAAAGTTCCAGAGGAGCTTCCACCTTGCCTTTAAAGGAAACGGGGTTCCTATGTCTCCTGCCAGGTATTTCAGGCGCAGAAGCACTGCCCTCATCAGAACCTCCCGGGGGCACCGCGCGCCCCTCAGCGTGCACACACTTAGGTGGCTGCAGTGGTGGGGGCAGATGTAAACTAATAGCACACAAAGGACAAAATGCTTTTCAATGCTTGATTAAAAATTCATGTCCAGCTCTTCACTGGAGGAGAATCATCCTGAGGCTGGCGATCTGATTTCTTTGTAGGGAGGCTTCGGGCCCGGGAAGGGGCACGGACCCTCAACAACTTCTAGGCCACAGGGTTCTGAGGCCTCAGACCACCCCCCCCCCGGTGAGCACTGGGTGGTCCAGCCACCTGGGCAGCAGCAGTCAGGGTTCCAAATGCATCAGACAGAAGAGGAGACTGGAAACACGGGTGAGAGGGGTGGCCTGCACAGGCCATCCTCTTTACTTTTGGGGGTGAGGGACACAGGGGTGGAGCTGGGCAGGGCAGGGGACTCCACACAGCCCACCTGAGTCCCACCTGCTGCCACCAGTAGGAGCTCAGAGGGGGCTTCTCAGCACGTTTTCCATGCCAGAGCAGGGTGTCTGTGAGCCAAGAACACCATTCCTCACGAGGGGAGGAGGACTCTGCCCGTCCAAGATCTGTAAGAGCCCAGTCTTGCCAAGGACACAGGTCCATCTGGCCCCAGAGGTCAGGGTGGGGTCCAAGGCTCGGTTCCAGAACTCTGGAATGGGGGGGGGAGCCAAGGCCCGTGGTGATCCTGAAGTCGTAGTGACCCTGAAGTTGTAGTGTCGATGGCAGGTTAAGGAGCTCCTCCTTGAATTCGCAAGCCCCACAGGGGACTATGAAAACATGAAAGCAGCCCAGTGGAGCCCAGTCCCTTCTCCCTGCCCCTCCACCCCACGCAGCAGCCTACCCCGCAGGCCCAGCACAGCGCCGCCCAACTGCAAACAGGTGCGGGGCACTCTAGAGCACAGAGGAAGGCCCACCGCCGTAATTCGGGGCTCGCGCCCACAGCACCCCCAAAGCCAAGGACCCCCAGATTTTGCACCACGCCCCGAGAACCAGATCGGCGCCTCGGTCAGGGCCCCGTTCAGCTTTCGGCCCATAGAGGGCGCCTCGAACACATCGGTTCGTACGGGAAGCCGCTCCAC